GGCCTCTTTAACACCCAAATTTGCAAAACCTCTGTGCACAAAGGAGAACAGCAGTGTAGCCCAGGGAGAGGATCCCCCACATAGGCCTACCGTATAACAAGTGCCTTTTCCCCCAAGGGCCTGATTTTGTTTTTCTCGAACGAGTGGCCTGCGCGAAATTAATGTTATGCGCGATGTCAGGAAATGTTCTGTCGTGATGAGTCCTCGTTAAACCGACAATGACCGGTTTGAAGAGGGACGCCAAAATAATTGATGAACAGCGTTACTCCTGCATTTCGATTTTACGGAGGTCGGGCGACTGGTAATAAACCTAAGTGCAATATTCCACACCCCGCCCCCAAATCAAAATGACCGTGCTACGCCAAAGAGGACCGCGTCAAGTTGCATGGCCAACGCTAACGCTCTTATTTGCTACCCCAGAAAAATTTCCTAGCAATAATGGATTTTGATTTAGGCACTTATCAAAATTAAACGAATTGATGTTTCCACTTTATTCTTTAACATTTGTCCCTTTCAGGGCCTTGTGCAAATTCGTTTGCAATGGAGGGACAACCTGCGACTTAGTCCCACCAGACTTCGAAGGTACCTTTTTACAAACTAAACGATTTGTATACAATTGTCCTTGACACTGCCAATAATAATCATCTGATACAAAGTTAAAGCTCACCTTCTGATGAAATGTGGATCTTAAAAGGTGCTGGATGCCCCAGCACGTTGAATACCTCAAGAAATCGATGTACATGTATAACATCTTCAAGAATCCTAAGTTTTAGAAATAGGCGGCGAAACTATTTTTGTGAGAACCTCAACATGTGGTTCGTTTCAAGGCTTCGGCTGAAAAAGGTTTTTGGACATACTTTTTGTGCAAATTGGTTCTCTTCTGCGACGTGTGAAAACAATTTAGGGTACTTGAACTGAAAATAGCACCCCTCTGAACATCTAACGTTTTCAATGCTTTTCCGGACATCTATATGAGAATCAGCCATGAGTGGAAATGTCAGCTACAAGTGTTCCTAAATGTTTCTTCCCTTCTTACGCCAGAATATATGTGAGATAGCTGCCAAATCACCATCTCCCTCCAGATGTTTCCTGATAAGAGTGGCTTACTGAAGCACCTGTTATTGACATCTGGAAGTTCAACCTATTTCATCTTTAGTTCCAAGAACATTTATATAGGTTGGGTGGAAAGTGAGCTCCTTGAAAGGTGGAAATGAGTCAATGGGCATTATTCATAAATCGGCCATATTGGATTGAAAGCGAGGTTAATTTCGCATTTTGGGAGCCTCAACATGAAAAGGACAGCAATGCAATAAAGCTCGTTACAGATTTATGTCATTTATGATTATCAGTAATTACATAAAAAATGACAGTGCGGCATGAAGCTGAAATTGTCAGTCGTAACCTATTTAACAAATAATATTGAATAAGATTCTTGGAACATGATAAAAATAGTCCATTATTGAATGATCATAATAGATGCAGATGCCGGGGCATATAATCCGACTAGTGTAGCATTGCATTAAACTCTGTGCACTTAAAGATAAAAAAATCATATGCAAAGTCTGATTTTATTCAGTGAACTATGACATTATGAAGGACTCTCAAACAACTTTGAGCAAATTGAATAATAATCATTTTCCATTCACTTAGAGGAAATTTCTGGTGCTGATTTCTTTACTACGATTAACTTCTAGATTCGAGGCGGTGTGTGACAATGCTATGTGCATTTCTTTTTACTGTGCAAGGTAGTGGACCGCTTTCCCGATCCCGTATGTGCTATGCATACATACAGCCAGGTGAGAGAGCTGCACGTGAGAATTCCTGCATAGAAGGACCAAGGGAGGACTTGTGTGCCTGTATTACTGATACCTCCCCGCGCAGATTACAAATAGGTTATGGACGAAATGAACGAGACCGAGGAAAGCCAGGCGACGATGATATCGACAATCTATGTAGATCTATTGGGTGAGTTTTTTCTCATGTAATCTAACCGAAGAAAACCAGATAACAAATAAAGCAGGGAATAAGGGGCGACGATCAAGAGAACGAGCTTTTAATTCTGCCATTTGGGCCTTACTGAAACCTTTTGCATAAGCATAAAATGACAGGAACCAAAATTGAATGTAATTTGAAACTTGTTGCCTTGTCTGCGTATCTCCAGGTCAAGCTATGCATGTCCCGCGTCAACACAGACAGACTCGACAGCACCTACGACCACGACGTCTACAACGACGACCGAGTCTCCAGCAACAAGTAGATCACCCGCCAATGTCCCAGACAGCACAACAGACATAGCCACAGCAGGTAGGACTATGACACGGACACCGTCGACAAGGACAGGGTCAGCCCCACTGCTCAAGTGATTGACTACTCCTCTCCTAACGTCCCACTGATTGATGGAAGTAACTGAGAAACAGTGGCTTAGCAAGGAGAGAATCGATCCACCCCGCTATCGGTCTGGTTCAATTCTAATCAATGAAGAACGAATTCAAATTGGAATTTGGGACCAAACAATTTGAAACTAGATTGTAGATTTGTTACTCGGTATCCATCAGTCCAGCACGACAAAAAACTCCTTCATGATTTACCGACTAAAAACACAGACAACAAAAACTCTTCCATCTACAAACTTTTTGCTAATGAAATTGACTGAAGACCTGTATCAAAAACAAAAAAACGTTGAATTTTGTTCCAACATAAAAACACCATTGAAAAAAATACTTCAACCGAATTGCCGTTCAAATCGCCACGTGGCAAGCATCGTTTTTTGATGTGTGTGGAAAGATTTTAGACACCTTTGGAAGATGAAATTTGCATTGTTTTGTCCAAGCATTTTCCTCATTTTTTTATTTTATATTTACTGAATTATTTGACCTCATTTTAGAGTGTGGACGTTTTATTCTACCCGTTAATTCCAAGTTTCACGATGGTTTACTGAGTTTGCCTTTTTTATTCTAAGTCTTCTTGCATTGTTTCTTATGCAGCAGTGAACACACGCCCAGGGTCAATGTCATCCGATGAGGGCGCTCCGCTCTACATTCAATATTGGCTCCCTGCAATACTTGGAATGATCTTAGTTATCCTGCTGGTGGCGCTGTTCAGGCGAAGGCAGCGTTCCAAAAAAGCCCCTTCCCAAGTGAACCCGATGGCCCGCACAGGGTATGTTTATGTGATCACATCTCACACCTTTTGATGCTTCCACCTATAGCCGAAGCATCCCTTCATCGATTAAAAAGGACTGCGCTGGTTGGGAGCGTTCATTTTGTTGGTAGCGATGCGACTGCAACGGTTGCGTTTTATAGTCGTCTGTGAAGCAGCGATGCGCAGTTACTGCTATTGATCTGTATCACTTGGGCCGTTTTCCAATACTCAACTTCGGCTCCGTCTCAGGCTTCTCCTGTTTTTTAACTAGCTGACTTTGAAGCTGTAAGCGCAGTAATTAGTCTAATAATGCC